AAAACGTATAGCTCTCATCTTACAACACAGCTGCACAAATCCTGTGGTAAATGACCACATAACTAGGTTGATTTGTTTAACTGAGTTGATATATTTTGATAGATATCAAAACATTGTTAAAACTTCCATGAAATGCCACTTTAATATCAGAACTCAATGGAAAGTCAACGAGTATCCTTTGTGTGTTCTCTAGACCCACCATCAGAAATCAATATATGTAATAGTTGAAAAATAAATAAAAAATATATCCAGCCATAACAAAACTTACTTGAAATTCAAATAAAAGTTTTTCAAAGGGGAGTGAGGAGACGTAATAAGGGTTCCATAATCAAAACTTATATTTAGGAACTAATAGTTATGCAATATATATCCTATAAATACATGTTATTGCTTTAGATATATTACTAATTCATCATTACATTACTAATATAAATATTAAAATATAGGGCAGTAAAATAACATAAAATGAATACACCCCTTTGAACTCCACAAAATAAATAAAATGTCCATGGAACCCATAAGGTAAAAATAGTAAATCCTTCATTAGCAAAAATAAAAACATTTTAATAGCACTCTTAAATTCATTATTAAAATATCCCGGTGATGTTAAGAGAAAAGAAAAGTTTATTAAAAGCTACTCTGATGAAATGATATATCATTTTATAAAAAAATTATTGGTTGTTTCAGATAGTGAATCATATAATTTCATACAAGTTTCCCTTCAAAGCAGTATTTCTAGGAAATCAAATTTAAATTAATTTACATTATAAATATATATTTTTTCCTTTCAGACATTGCCAGGAAACTAAATGAATTAAGATATTTAAATATTCCAATATAGCGGTATGATGAGAATAGTTTTGTCTGTGAAGGTCTGCAAAAAAACAAACTGCCCACAACTAAGCAGCCCATTTCGTGACCCAGATCATGTTAATGAAACCCTTGAACACAAAATATTTTACAGCAGCGGATTAAATGAACATCTTGAAGATTAACTTCTGTTTTTTTCCAGCACCTGGGCAAATCTTGAATTTAAAAAAAACTTACATGAAACAAAATAATCCCTAATGTAAAAGAAAAAAAAATCTGAACTAATTTGCAACAAATTGATATTCGATTTCTTCTCAGCAGGAGACAAAAAGACACATTAAAAAATATATCCAGAGTGCTGTTAAAACAATATGAAGAAATAGTACTGAGTGAACAGTTTGACTATGCTAAATATGAATTGTAGCAAAATGAAATGGGCAAAAATAACATTTTAGATGACGGAAAAAAAAATTACCTCAAAAATTTTCAGGCACATGACAGAACAATTATCATCCAGCCTTTTCTAAAAGGGGAAGACAAAAGGGGTAAATAAAAAGGTAACGTAAAACAAAATTTGGGGAAAGATATAATAATAAAAAAGGTAATCACTAAAAAAAAACAAGGGAACAACATTCTAATATGGGAGGTGCTTAAAACAAGGAAAGAAACAAAAAATATGAGAAGGATTACAAACCTACTGTTATTAAAGTCCTTATTGCACTTTTGTCAGCTATTTCTAAGTCCACTTACTATACTATATCAAGATAAACATAATTACTGGGCATTAGGTAGCCCCGTGAATTCAATGAGATTAGTAAGGCCTGAATGAAGTAAAGTGGACAAACAGTAATATTTGTAATTACATTCTGTACATTCAGATTAGTGACTTTGCAAGACTTGTCAATTTTAAAATTGTCTGAGACCCTGTGGGTGTTTAGTTGTTTATGTGCTCGGGTATGTAGCACATAATCAGCAAACAGTAAGCCAACAATATAACCGTGATTATGTTTTAGTCTCTAATGTCATATGCGCTTAAGCTCTTTTTACAATTCAGTGTGCTTCTATTATGTTGAGGAAATCAATTTTAAAAACTAAGAAGATTATGATACTTTATTACATTATTTAAACTGTTTTTCAAATGTGATGCAACAAGTATAGTATTTTTGTATATCTGGTATTGAAAATCTACATCTGGAAGTCTCCATATTTTAACAATAACAGCTGTTTCAAGTGCAAAATAGAGTCTTTGCTTTCACTAATCACTAGACACAACAAATAAGGGTACAAAAAAAGGTGGAGAAAAAAGGGGTGAGGCTAGAAAAGGCAGTGTAACCATCAAAAGAACAACCCACAGACAATTTGGCGTTGATAAAAATTTCCAATTTTTTTTTTCTTTCTGTGAGTTAAGTCCTAATTTGATGCCTACTGGATGTGTATATTAAGTTTAGTTCTCAGACTCCTAGATTTTGAAAAAATTTCAATGGGCACGCATGCATAGAGCGAGGACTACCACTCCATGTGCTGTATGCATGTAGCAGGCATTCTCAGTGGACGTGGGTCATGCTAGTAGATGTACACAGGAAGATTATTTGACTCTAAATCATGCCACTTGACATAATGTGAAAAAACTTTTGACATGAGAGATAAGTTCCATTTCAGTTAGAAGGATGTCAGCGAGAGAGTGAAAAAAAATCATAAAAGGAAACAATCATTTAAGGGAGGATACGCAAGAAGGGAAACCAAAGATCACGCAGAAGAAAGTTTTGACTGGGAAAGAAAAAGTTTGCAGCACAGCGTGAAAGCAAGTAAAAAAGCAGAGTAAGCACACAGTGCATGGCGTGAACATAATGGATGCACATGACAAGTCTGATAAATAGTCCACAGTTAGGGACACATGCTATACACAGGACCTAGTTAAAAACAGACAGGTATTGTGGTCCTAGCTTTGGCTGCACATTGTTACAAACAAGAATACAGCATGTGTCATACACTGAAGGCGACAGAAACATTAACACAAATATTCTGACTTCTATCTAATGAGACTTATTACATATGGGACTCTTTTCACCACTGCCGCCACCAAAGGCCAGCAAGGGGAATTCAACCAAATCCCGCTAACCTTGCACAGCCTTCTCCTTCACTATCTGTGTTAAAAATTGCAGAAAAGAGTTTTTCTTCTCCTAACTGTAAAAGCAGGAAGCTAATGCTGTAAAAGCATGGAGGCAGCAGTGTATTCAATGGTGAAATGCCATGAGAGGGCCTTATCTTGGCCTCCTTAGAAAGAAGCTGTTGTCACTACACCAAAGTGTAGCTACCCCTGTGGACACTAAGAGGCTGATTTGCTAGAGGAGTTGAGAATCTTCCCACCATAAATTGTATGAATATTCAGTTTAATTAATCATGTGCAGATGAAATAACTGAACAGGAGTTTGCCTTCACATGTATAGATAAATTAAGTGAATATTCACACAATTCTTTGGTTAATGCTTCGCAACTCCCGTAGTTAATCAGCCTCTAAATACTTCCATTCTTTAATATTAATAACATTGCTTTACTATTTTTTTTTAACACTACCAAACTGGAATTTGTATCATGTTCTCTTGGTACATAGACCATAAAAGAGAAGCAAACTTTGAGTCTCTAACTGCCATTAATTTACCGAACGTTTTTGCTTTGGGCACAATAGACCAGCAATTGAGATTACACTCTTTTCACTGGAGCTGCATGTGTAATTTTTGACTGCAAGGATTAGGAATACTAAATAGCTTGAACTATAATGCCAATATAACGTAGGCCCAGATTGCAGCATGTCTTTTTAAACCCAAAAATGTTGATTTACATACTGCAGTTTAAAAAAATCTGAGTATTTTCTCGAGAATAAACCATGCAGGTCAATCTAGTTATGGAGCGCAGTTTATAACTAAATAGGGTTTATATTATCATTGAAATTGTTGTTTTCCCATAAAAAAACCTATTTAATTGGAATGTTGTACTGATCTGTATTGTTGCATGTCTGTATATTTACATTTTAATATTTTTTGTTTAAAAATAACGTATCTAAATAAAGTTTTAGGGTTGGACATAATAATAGCTGTCCTTGAACTATAAATTGGTTTGGAAATCAAGGTCAGCTTATTAGCTTTTGCTTCCCCATGCCAAAATGCTGAGAAAAGAAATAATGAAAAATGCTTTAGGGAATAAAAATACTTACCTTTCCCCCAGATTTAGTACTGAAGGGGTTGACGTCATAATTCCTCCGACAAGATCTCAGGATTGGTGAGTAGCCCAAATCTTGTGTTCTCACAAGAACTACTCAGCATTCCCCAGTACCTTGCCAGAAGGAGGATGATGTCACCCTTGCCTAGGCTCTACAGGCAGTAGCTGGGGGAAAGGTAGGTATATGTAATGCATTTTTTCCCCATAAGTTTTTTTCATTTATGTTTTGCAGCATTTTGGCATAGAGGGAGCGGAGCTTGGTAAAAAAAAAAGGAAAACTTTTTTGGGGCAAAGTCCGCTTTAAGAGAACACATTTTACACCAGTTCAGACAACTTGAACACTCAATTAAGTCAACATTGAATTAAAAACAAAATACTTTTAGAACTTTACTAAACAAAATATATCATTCTGTAAGTGGATCAAGGCATCTGATCTGGACAAATTCCAATCACTATACAGCATCTTGTTATGTTTACAAAACATGATACTTGCTATTTATATGATTAAAGTATTACAATTTATCCATTTGCCTTCAGATTTTAACCCTTGCTACCGTTGAATATCTACCACATTTAGTAATTTCTGACATAATCTAGACATACAATCAGAGATAGGTAAAGGGTTTAACTTAGGTGTGTGATAAACTCAAGGCTGTCATGCTGTAATAAGCATAGAAAACATAAAAAAAGAAAACACAAAGGAGTTTTAGATATTACATACACAACATACAGTAAGCTGCTTCTCGTTTCCACAAAAGGTCCACCCAGAGATTAGTATCAGACACAGACCAAGACAAAGTACACCAGAGTAGAGATTTAAAGCAGAAAAGAGCAAATTAGAGGGGAAAGAAAGGTTTGTAAGAAGATCACTGTTTTTTTTTTTTCAAAATGTGACTTATCCCCCTGTCTTTTATTTTGTCACATTTTGGGGCGTCTCCCCCTTGCTGACCAAGGAGGAGAAGGCATTTACTTACATCAAATAACCTTTCTATATATATCTCCTCATTGACCTTATCACGAAGGATATCCTGAGAGTGACGCACAAATGTAACATAGGCATCAGCGAGGTCCATTCCAGGTTTCTGTGGAGTAAAAAAAAAACACAGTTAGAGGAGGCCCATAATAATTTCACTCTCATTATTTAAACTATTTTTCAGTTTGCCATTATTAACCAAGCAGCAGTATATCTTAAAGAGACCCTGTTGTGCAATTAAATTATGTCATACATTTTATTTACCTGTAAAAGTCTCTCTTGTGTATATATCCAAAAGCCCTGAGACTGTTGCTGGGTGCTGCCATCTTGGATGTGATGTCAGCAGCTCCAGCAGACTCAGAGGTGTCACCCAAGTGACACACTTTAGCATTCCCCTGCACTCCTTCCCTCAGCAACTACATACAAGTTTATGTAGGGAAGGTAGGGGCAGAGAAGCTGGAATTTGTATATAGAAAACTGAACAATTATCTAACTTACATTAAAATAACATTGCATTTCAAATTAAATTAAAATTTACCAGTTTGTACAGACCATAAAGTCAGCCATTTTGTGAATCATGCCTCAATCTATCACTAGCCATCATTGAACACGCAGACTTTATTTTTTATATCTTATTTATTTATCTTATTTAAGGAAAATGGATACATTTGTTGGATAGGATACCCCTAAACTAAAAAATAAATATTTTGCATGGAATACACCATCCAAACATATTAAATAATGTATTTTTTCTGCTTGGCTGTTTTATATTGATAATATAACTGATTATACCTTATCTCGCTAGCCCTCACATACTGTCATGTATATTTTTATATTAGCCTTTTCTCTTTTTTGTGTCACATTTTTGTCTTCTTTTTTTGAATTCCTACAGTTCAAAAATAAAACATGTATTAACTTTTCTTAGTTATGTTGTAAATAGTTTTTATTCTGGCCTTTCCTACTGATGCCTATGATAGTAGGGGCATTAAATACCAAAAAATGGTCACATTCAAGTTATCTTCAAAGATCTTTATTAAGGCCTCTAAGAAATCTTACATAATAAGACACATAGATAACCCAATATACTGTGCCTCTGTTGGAGTGAGTTTCAACAATATGGGTAAGGAAATATTAGCATACTATTTGTAATGGAACAAGATGGTTTGATCAATGTTCCACAGTTTAAACAATAAGATCTCCGCTCTGGCTACTTACCACATGGAGTCTGGCAACCACATAGAACAGAGGGATTTGCATTAGTGCCAGTCGACTAATGTTTAATACACCCACTAAAATTTCCTGATTAGCATGGTAACTTGGGCAAGCTGTTGTCTATATATGAGTACATGTTTCTTTTGTACTGGATTCCCTCTCTTCTTGACTTATCCTAAGAAGGAATTGGCTGTTACACTAACACTGCATTGGAGTGCAATACAGTATTTCTATTTATACTGCCTGCTGTTGTGTGATAAAAGCAGTGAGTTGAAAAGCCAGCAGCTTTTTAGACACAATTCTGATTGGAGTAAAGACATCTTGCCTAATGAATACAGTAGAGGATGCAAAACTTATAACTGGCCTACTAACAGTATACCTTAATAGGATTAATATTATACCTTGATCTTTGGTAGGTACAACCCTATGCATATACTGTCCATACAGCTAAAGTGGTTGTACATCAGCACATGGAATGATGCAGTAATCATAAGACTGCCCTTACAGGGGTTGATTTACTTAAAGGCAAAAAGACTGTTCTTCAGTGAAAGAGGTGAAGCTCTACGAACTTCATTCATCCAATCGACCAAACAAAATACTATTTCTTTTTATTTTCCTCGTACATGATTGGGTATTCTTAGCAAAGTGAATTTTCACCACATCAACTAAGCTAAGGAAAAATTCCATTGCAAAGTGAAAATTCCCTTGCACAGTAAATAATCTATTTGCAGTTAGTAATCAACCCCACAGTCTGCTTTTTTATATCCATTTGCTATACAAGTGAGTATTGACTTATATCAAGCCTTGTGCAATGCACAATATTTCATAACATTATTAAAAGAAACAACATAGAGTTTTAAAAACTACAAGAATCACTAAGAGTATATTTTTCCCTGTGCACCAAGGCCTCTGTCTTAGCCACTCTCTTGTGTTTTTAATATATATTTACAGAACAATGGTTGAAAATTTGACAAGCTGTAACCTTTACAACTCATACTGACTATGGAGGTTAGAATTCTGTAAAGATCCACCCATTTTACTGTGAAGCACTTTCTCAGTTAGTATTGATAGGCGAATATGATTTGTTTATGAGATTAGAATCTTCACTCAACAAAATGGGTAAATATTCACTTATATTATCCAGTAATGTGAAAAGCATGTGCACACGATTGGTTATTCAAGGTGAACAGGAATTTGCTTTTCATGACTGGATAATCTAAGTGAATATTCATAATTTTAGTGAATATTCTTAACTGCTTTAGCAAATCAGCTTCACCGTCTCCGAATATGTCATTGTGTAATTGTGTCTATTTTAGCCTATTTTGTACCACGCTATTTTGCCAGCACCAAGCTACAGATTGCAAATTGCTTATCTTATATTTCATGAACAACAGCTAGCAACCCTGAGTCTGTAAAGATAAAACTCCAGTTAAAAGAGCTGCCTTTCAGTAGAAACTCATTAAAATTTCCTGACATCACTCATTATATAAACTGCGGTAAATACCTTTTCATTCCTGAGATAAAGTATGTTTGCAAACAAATAATAGATCTCTTTTTCTCTGTTTTTTTTTTTACCTTTGATCTCAAGCCATCAAATTTCTGTAATATGAGTTTGTCAGACCCTGTGAATTGAAGTTAGTTAACACTCTTGTGTAATTTCCAGGGTGAAAATTAAGAGCGTTTGGGGAGCAATAGGACTGTAATTTAACTTTTTTTTTTTTACACAAAGCAAACAATTATCAGGCGAAAGGGGGCAACGTGTGGCCCCTGAGAATGTGGCATCATCTTCTAAAACTCGCTAAAGCATTGACAAGGTATTAATTTAAAACAAAAATGCAAAAACAATGATATTAATATAGAGGTTATATGTAATTCCTTATATTTCTGTCTATTTTACTGTATTTATATAGTAAAACATTTACTATTTTACTGAATATTTGTAAAAAAAAAATGTAAAAAGGTATATGTATCTTTAAGTGCTCATCACACGGTTTAAAATAAAAACCAACTCACTATGATTGTTTACTGCTAACAGATCTAGTAACTTAACAAAAAAAAGATATAACGGCTGCATCTTAATAGGCCAGAATGTCTTGCGGCAACAGCCACACCATGACTTGTAAATAAAGCTTTGTGTGCTTTTAGAGTTATTGTCTATAATAGTTTCCACTTCAGTTCCCCAGTATTATCCGACTGTTATGTTATACACCTACAAGTGGAAAAAAAAACTTTAAGTAAAAAGGCAGCTCCATGGCAGTAATTATTTTGGAACAAACAGGGGTAATTGACAGTTCCCTTTAAAAGATAGTTTTTCCCCTTTTTATGTCAGGTTCTCAGAATTTCTAAGATTTCAAAAACCAAATTCTGCAAAACAATAGACTGGTAAATTACAGTGTTTTATATTAGCTTTGCTAATTAAGGGAAATACTATTGAAACTTAATCTAGGTGACTGCGATTCAGTCTGTCATATATCCTATTCTATTAACTCATTGATACCTGCAAGATCTAAGCTTTATGGTGGTAGTGTACCACTACTTTTGTGAACCAAAAACAACAAAAATAGTTTTAAATACATTTTCTACAAAATATGAAAGGTTAAATATTGCTGGTTGATGAAAAATATAAAAACAATTATGAAACAAAATTACTCATTATTATTTGTGGGTTTATGGAGAAAACACAGTTTATGCTGCACTGTACAACTCTGTAAACACAATTAGACCTTGCATTGCATACAATTTTAAATCCATGCACCTTTCTAATCATTATTTGGGTCTTTTTTTATTCATGTAAAAACAACTGTAATACATTTATTGCATAAAAGCAAATTCTATCGGGAAAGGTTTAAAAAAAAAAAAGCAAGCTGAAGTTTAAAGTATACAAAACATATATGATGCATGATATGATTCTATCATACATTAAAATATAAAAAAACAGCTTTAATATGGTATTTGAATAAGCAGACTCTCATCTCATAATTATATTAGTTGCTATGGACAGCAAAGTAATATTTAATCCTAAAATTCTGCTTCTGAGAATTTGAAACATTATTCTGTCTTTCTTTAGATTTTAAATATGCACACTTTCTTGCTATATATTATTCAACATATTAGTAAATATGGTAAACATGGCATATGTAACTCCTGCACATTTAGGTTTCAGGTATAATTTAATTTGTGTGCTACTTACAATAATCACTGAACATCGGTACACTTACTAATAGATTTGCTGATAAAACTAGCAAGTATGTTTAAATAGCTCAATACCATACCTATGTTTTGTGCACATGCAAATGCTGTGACATTCATATTGTGAAAAACATTTTTATCTTCTGTATTTTCATTTTATAAGGCATTTAAAAATTATTGTCATACTCGAACACGCTCTTGATAGGGGGGATTTAGCAGGATCTTTAGACAAGTGCCTAATTGTCCACGGAAGCTAGAAGTCATTGCAGGAATACAGCAGTTTAAATAATGAATTTACTTTAAGTATTGCACTTTTCTGAAAGCTAACCATGAAATTTAAATCTTACAGTCAATATTCATGTGCTTAACCTCAATTTAAATGCAAATTTCTCACCAAGTTTAAGTGCCTTATTTATAAACTGTGAGAGCCAATTTCATTAATAAGTCATGTAGCACTCGTAATACTGTTATAAGCATTTACTTCTGTCAAAACGGATCTAATGTCATTTTTTTCTAAAATAATTTATTCAATTATTTAATTCATTCACGTAACAGCACTGTTTTTCTACTATGACAAAACAATCTCTTGAAAAATATTAGAGTTTACAAGAATCTCTAAAAAATGTTCCATATAGAATGAACGTGCTGCAAATTTCATTGCAGTATTCTCCAATATGTACTCTCAGAACAATAGTAAAAAAAGCATTCTGGAAAAACAACATTTAGCTTACAAAAGATATATACTGAATTCTACAGTACAGAACATGAAATAAAAAGTTACAAAAAGTGAAGAAAAATCAAAAGCCCTCTATAGCAGAAAATATAATTAAAAGTAAAATATTAACAGTAAATTTTACTTACTGGAACATCCACATACTTGGAAGCTGCTTTGACCTTGAAGGAATACAAATATTTAAGTTTTTTTTGTTTTAATCCATTTCTTAATATAAGAAGATGTAATAATGAGGCATAATAAATGAACACCTATAACAACAAACCGCTATCTACATAACTAAATAAATAAATATATAATAATAAGAGTCTGCCATTTACATTTAATTTTTAAAAGTGAGACCTTCTCAAGTGATGGCTGAATTTATGGCTTCCAATATGAGTCGCTTTCTATTGATGAAGCTCAAAAACAAATTATCTATTGTTTCAGCAGAACATGTGAAAGAAACTGTATTTTGTTACCCACCATTATCCAAGAATAAAATGCTCTACCATGGACAATACCTACTTTTGCCATGGCTGAAAACATACATTGTACAGGTTTGTACAAAGGCATTTTGATCACTCTTACATGGCATATTAGACAAAAGACATGGAAGTCTGGCAATTACTTTGTAGGTTTAAATTTATTTCAAGCATTTCAACCTGCTTCAGTATAATTTGTTTCAAAACTTTAACTAATAACCTAGGCAGCACAAGGTTACTACCCTATATACAGTATAGTAACAGAAACACATATTGGCTTAATTAACTTACAGTAAATGATAAAAATGAAGAAAATAAGGTCCCTTCATCATATCTGGACAGCTTGGATAGTACTCCTTCTAAAATAGTCACAAACTAATGGGAACAAAAACATAGAAGTGTTAACTTGATTACAGATACAATAATAGTAACCAACAACTTGCTAAGAAGCAGTATAGTTAAATGGTCAGCAAAACTGCTTTGCAGCACTAGGGTCCTGGGTTCCCCTGACACCAGTGGAAAAAACTGCATGAAGTTTGTATGTTTTTCCAACTGTATTTATGGCTTTGGTTATTTTCACAATCCAAAACCATCCTGATGGCTTTACCTGAAATTGGCCCTTGTGTGTTTCATATAGTTGTATGTGTTTGCCGAGGGGGTCCCAGCACACACACCAAAACAGCCTTGGTGTTCCAACTTATTTGTAGATAATATTCACAAAAAGTATTAATAAATATTTACCAACACCAATGTGTTAATGTCTGTAAAGATAGATAGAATTCAGCTTTACACAAAAAGGAGCCTCAATTATAATTAAAAAAACAAATTGTGTATTCATTTTAGTTGCATTGTTGGTCATCCAATATTCATCAGAATTCATAATGGCTCCTGGCCTTTTGTACAGTGACCCATTGGTACAGTGTACTAAAACCCTAATCTTAGATATAATTGTTCTTGTATAAATTATGAGACTTGTTTAAAAAGCTTGCCAACTTTTAAATTGAAATTAGTAAAATTAAACTAAATCAAATTAAACTGAAGCGGATTCCTTATAGGAATAAAGGGGCACCAATGTATATGCTGTTTATCTGTAGCATGACCCTTAATAGCTGCAGAAACTAGGTTACACTTTGGCAGCATAAAATAACTTATAGTGCCTGGAAGTTTATTTATTTGGGCATGGACAACCTGCAGTGTAAAGGTTTTTTAGGTGTAACCAAACTTTTGAGAAATTACGTTCCACTAAAATTAAAAGCCAATATCCACTGCTTGCTATTGACCACCTAGTTGGTTATATAGCATAGCAAAAGCTTACCTCGGTACTTTAAACAAAGCACAGCAGTGAATTAAAATGTTCCTAATATCCTCATCAGCTTCCTGTTATTATATTTCCTCCATACAAGATTAATCCAACACAATCAAACCGTTTGACCATATTTATTCACAGAATACAAAAATGTAACTCCCTGTATGTTATCTCAAGACAAAGACAGATGCTGTACTTTGTGGTATAACATATCATTACATATTCAGTTTAGAGGCTGAGACTGAATTATTTAAAAAGTTAGAAATCTTTAATAAACTGAGTGAATATTCACTTCAATTATCCAATTATGTGACTATCAAATTCATTTTTACTTATCTCTTCTGCACATGATTGATTATTCAAAGTGAACAGGAATTTGGTTTTCACATGATAGGATTAATGAAGTATATTATTTGAAGACTGTCAGCTCAGTAAATTGGCCTTGTCATTTTCTTCTTGCAGTACCTTTTTCAATTATTATTATTAGACAGAATTTATATAGCGCCAACAGTTTGCGCAGAGCTTTCCAATATAAGGAAGACATTACAATCACAATACAATTCAAGACAAGATGGTAAGGAGGGCCCTGCCAGTGAGGGCTAAATATGAACATATCAACATTTTACCGCAGCCCAATTAAACCCAAATCAATAGTATATTTAAAAAATATATATATATTTTTTCTCTTATAATGCTAGGCAAATAGGAAGTGCCCAGAATTATTCAGTGGCTCATACACAAATGTTTAACACTGTTTGTAGTACCTGAGATAAAACCTACCTTTGCAACTAAAAGTGTTATCATTTCTTTAACTGTTTCTTCAATTAGCTCATCAATTTTTGAATGATACTGGTGCTAAAAAGGGAGACAGTAAAAAGGCAAAATATTAAAACACTGAATAAACAATTACACTGGAATCATCAGTCTTTTTTGGGACTACAAAATTCCTATCTTACTTTTTAATTTTAAATCAGCTGTGAAAATAAACTGTTAATTAACCTGACTATTCTTTTTGTAGGCATCATACATAGTAACGTTGAATAATAAATCATTCAACCCAAAAAATTGCAAAAACATGTTATGAATTTTTACAAGTTAAGTTTTTTTTGCATTCAAATTTGTCCTTTTAGGCTGTGCACTAAAAAGATACAATATTTAAAGGAAGGAGTAATTAAAATATATTCGAACATTCATTTTCACTTGTTTGCATTAATGTCTGTTTAAAATGCTAATTAAGTCAAAACAAAGTGGATGTTGACAGAAGGGATGACAAAAAAACTGAAATAAATGCTAATTATACTTTAGGGAGTGAGGGATGACATTACAGTTGAAAATGTTAGACACACTTACCCAATGTTTAGCAAACTTTCGGATGGAGGGGAACAGAAATAATGAAGAAGGTGCAGTAGACATGAAAAAGAAATCAATGGAGGTAAAACAAAATGAATGAGGAAATGAAAACAGAATAAGATGAAAAAAAATGATTGGTGTGAGGACATTTTTAAGGTCAGAATACAATAGGTGATGAATTCAAAGTGTTTTTTTTTATCTGGCCCATGAACATGTGTTGGGTGTTGGCTTCAGATATGTTATCTGGATCTGGATTTTTTTTCAAACTTCCCTTTAAAGGAGAACTATGAGGTGAGTGCTTTTCACTCACCTCCTAGTTCTAGCTGACCTGTGACAATGAGACTGTCACAGGTCGGCTCAGTAGATCGGGAGGTGAGCGAACACATGCCGGTGTTCGCTCACTTCTCGATCCTGTCACTGCTCTATGCCGTGACAGGGGAGGGGATGGTTTCCCCCCCTCCCCGCTCCGATCCGCCAGCGCTGACGGAAAGGACGGGGGAGGGGGCGGGTACAGCTGGCTCTGCCTCTAGATAGGCAGGGCCAGCTGTCACCCACGCAGCTGGGCGGATCTCGACATCGATGTCGGGATCCGCTCCGGCGTCTCAGTATACCGCGAGCTGTAGCTTGCAGTATACTGAGCTTAGGGTAACGGGAGGACGCTAGTTTGTGTCCTCCCGTTACCCTAAGTAGAACTATGGGGAAAAGCTGTGTTATCATTCTCAGAAAACAGAGCAGCTCCCAAGGCCTGCTTATGCAAGACAATTCCTGGAAGGGATTGTCTTGTACACTTGAGAATAGAATAGGGCAGCATAAGTATCTAAAAAAAGTCTGGTCATTTTTGTACCAATAACACAAAGGGGGTGATTTGCTAAACACAGATAGGCTATTCACTGTGCAAGGGAATTTTCACCTTTGCAAGGGCATTTTTCCTTAGCTTAGTGAATGAGGTGAAGCTTTGCTAACGTCAATCATCCAATCCAATCAATTGCAAGAAAAAAATACTGATTTTTTTGGTTTTCTTTGCTCATGATTGGGTATTTTCCCTGTGTCCACTAAGCTAAGGGAAAACTCCCTTTCAAAGTGAACCACCAATTTCCTTTGGTAAATAAACCCCAAAAAATGAGCTTGCATTGTGTGTGGCTTATATTAACGTTATGTCATATAAGTTGCTCTATGGCCAAGCCAAATTTGTTATTTTTTTCAAATAGTCTACAAATGGTTAAAATTAATGTCCCTTTTTTTGCCATCTGTGCTTTATAGGTGAGATATCCTTTAACCCACTGTCCTGTTTAACAGACACAACAGGGAGTGAGAGGAAATCTCTATAAAGTGAGGGAAATCCTTCCTCAGACCGTTGTCACCATAATAAGTGTCCCCATTAGGAGATTTCACCTATATCCTGGTGACAACCCAAAATGGTGGATTTGTTTGAATCTTCCAAGGAAGGACACAGACAACAAAAAACCCTGACAGGGGCCTAGATCTTTCCAACTCTATCCAAAGCTTTATATATATATTTTTATATTCAGGCTACATTTTTGGCTCAAAGTTTAAAATAAAATTTGAAGCACAGTGCTGAACATAATTCTTATGGTATAGGGCTGAAATGACTCCCAAGTAGTAACATTTAAAAACATATTACTATCAGCTCCCTAGCACATCAGACCTTTTTAGCGGCCAATTTGACCCTAGCAGGTAACTGGAAAAAGCAAATAATCCCTTATCACGAATTTACCCTGAGATTGGACAACATCATGACCAATGAAAGACTATCCAGTATCCTAACAGATACTCATGCCAAATTTTTGAAGGTCTGGGAGCCTTGGGTGTTACACCAACACCCTGAACTAGATGTGGAAACCCTTAGACATCTATAGGAGGATTCCCGTGAAGCGCGGTAGGTGCCCCCCTAATGGAGACAGGCAGCGGATCCACTGAACCGTTTACCGTAGACAGCCACATAGCAATTGTAACCAATTTGTACTTTTTTACTCATTTTAATATTTGAAAACCATCTGTACTGATCCCTATGTACACTGTCTAATCTATTTATGGAAATTTAATGAAAAAAACTTTGTTACAAAAACAAACAAACATATTACTATCAAAATTGAAGAGTTTAGAACTACTCTGTAGTGTACATATTAAATACGCTGACCCTATAGAATTCTATGAGGATTTTCTGCTGATTAAAGAAGGATATACTACCAATATACCACCGAACCTTACAGTATGAGATCTCTGGATAGCAACCACCAAAGTAAGTGTAATTCACAGCTTTATGCTCCTCTCCCCTGGATCCACACATGTGAGTCTTAATGAGATGTTGAAGAACTAAATATGCCAATGTTATTTGGGCAAATCCATTTAAACTATCTAACAAAAGTGATACAGTCGTATCTCGGTTCACAAACTTAATTTGTTCCATGATTCTGGTCGCAAAGCGAATTGGTCGCAAACCGAATCAAACTGTAATCAGACCACGATCTGGACTAGAGGAAGGCATGACCAGTATCAGAGCAGGGAAGATGGCTGCGGTTGTGTTGCTTACCCGTTTTGGAGTTCGCGAACAGAAGCAAAATTTTGCCGAACTTCTTGTTCACGAACCGAATTGTTCGCGAACAGAGCCGTTCGTGAACTGAGAAACCACTGTATTTCAGTTGATTTTGATGAAATAAGAAACATTTAGACCAAACCTGTCTGACTGGTGTGTATTAGGCCTCCTGATTAGTAAGGACAAATAGTAAAGATGCTGCATGTTACAACCTATTAGTTATCTTTTTGTACTACAAACACAAATGCCTATGCTAATAATGTTCAAACCATTATGGAAAAAATACTCTGAGGAGATATTATTATTACTGGAGCAGACAAAATCTGGAGCAGTTGCCCATAGTAACCAATCAGCTTCTCTTTCCAGTTTGTTTAGTTAAGCTTTGAAAATGAAAGAAAGAAGCCAATTGTCTGTCATGGGAAATTACTCCAGATTCTGCCTACTGCAGATTTGATCAATTTCACTCTCTGTGTTTTTTTAAAATAATATTTAGCTGAAAAAAGACCATAGCTCTAAAAAGCTAATAAAATATAAATAACACAAAAAGGTATTTTGGTGACTCATGGGACTGAAGAAGAAAGTCACCATGATAGCCAGACACTTTGCATTGTTTCAAAGGTAGCTAAAAAAAACGAAGCCATTCACATTGCAACAGGTAAACAGTTAACCAAAACCGTGATGCCTTGTTTTAAAAGAAAAGAATTTGCCCTGCATGGCGTTTCTTTAATTTTCTAACCACCACTGAAAGTGTTAGAATATGGGTAAATGCAAATGGTCAACACCTCCATGTTTTATATCTTAATGATTTTATAAATATGGCTTTGCGCCTTGAGTATCATGGATACCTTCTAGCTTTTGGCAAAGGGCCAGGCTCAGCATGTAAAATGCAGTCCTGTGTAATGAATATATAGATACTGAAATGAAAAGCTCATCCACCCTTTTCTGTATCCTTGTGAGTCTGTGGGGGAGTTCAGGAAAATCCATCTCAAGTTTTAGTGCCCTGGGAAGTCTAAATTTTAATACGTCTATGTATGTATTTCCTCCTACATATATGAGTAAGGGAAATGGTAATGCATCCTTCCTTCAAAAAAGTGCCACACACACAAAATTAATATAGTTCTCTTATAGCTTTCATGTCTCTTAACCTTTGACCCAAAGTCATATTTTCACAGGCCAGACAAGCAACATATTAGCCAGGTAGTAACTTAAGCCTTTAATTGACTCATACATGAATAATTATTGTTGGAGATATATTTAAGAGAAATGTAAACGCAGAAAACACATTCATAGAATGTTCTGCTGCCCAAAGAAAAATAGATAATTACAGAGACAACAAAATAATTTTGTATGGGAGGCGAAAGGCTGACCGACACAAGGCATTAATTAACTAGTAATGCATAATTCTCACTTCCCATTATATGTACATATGAAAAGTTTATTTTTATTTTCCATTTTGCAAGCAACCTGTCACGGATAATTGTGGTGTAAAAATGGCAATAATATATTCATGAAAAACACAATAATTAGGAAATTCAGATTTGAAATAATTATAATGATGCAAACAACAGGTGGTATTACAGTGTGTTTGTTACTGGCTGCTTGGACGCCATATGAACTAAGGGAAAAAGAGACTTTCAGAGGGAGTGTAATTCGGCAGCGAACAGAGCCGCAAAATAGACCCTACAGAAAATTCCAAACCTCCAGGCAGATATCTCAGAACAAGCTACAGTTCATTACCGTGTCAAGTACCGCAGGTCTAACAGTGTGCTCGGCTGTTAACTTACAGTTGATAAATTATGGGTTTTTGCAAAATGATAATGACTAGAATTGTGTAAAATAATACAGTGTGAAATGTATTGACAGGCAGATCATGCAGATGATTTTCAATTAGACTTTCTCATAGAATTTGTTTGCATGCGGTAAAAAAAGAAAAAAATGCAGCAGACATTTA